GCCTGTTTCTCCAGGGCCTTCTTCTCTCTCCTTTCCTTTTGCGGCCTGAGAATTTCGGTAGCCCTCTCCTCCTGCTCCTGGGTATATGGGATGGTCTCCTGGCCGGATTTGGTCACTACTCGACAACTAACAATGCCCCAAAACCCAAGAGGAAAGATGAAGTGGTAAAGGGTTCCCCGAGGGAGAAGCCCTTAGCAAGGCGAACATCAGGTAGTCATCCATGTTGATAGGGCACAATCACTAACGATTCCACTCCTCAACACTTAGACCTACCCCTAGACTCTAACGTTCCAAGGACTACGGAGGTCTCTCTTCTGCTTCAGCCAGGTTACCACTGTCGTCGGATGCTTTCGCAACCGCAGTCACCGGGACTTTCCACAACCTTCGGATGTGAGCACAACCACAGTCACCGAAACTTTCCATAGTCATCGGATGCTTTCGCAACCACAGTCACCGAGACTTTCCACAACCTTCGGATGCGAGCACAACCACAGTCACCGAAACATTCCATAGTCGTCGGATGCTTTCGCAAGCACTGTCACCAAAACTTGCCATAGCTGTCGGATGTGCTCGCAACCGTTGTCACCGAAACCCACTTGGCTTACACTTCAGATTGACACTCTGTCAATTACTCATCTCTAGCCTAAGCTACAACTAGTCTGTCACTATAGGACTAATGGCTGATAAGGAGATGCCCTAAGCTCCTCAGGAATTCTTTAACGTCGCAGACAGGACGACGATCACAACCAAAGTCCTCTCAAGACTTAGACAGACTAGACACCCGCTTTGCAGCTCGGAGCTCGGGTATAGTGTGCCACCCAGAGCAACCTGCCGCTCTGTACCGGTCCTTGGGGTGTTTTCCTATGTCGTATAGCGTCAGACACACCTCAACCCCTACTAAGTCCCGTGCAGACACTGGTTCACAGCTCCTATCTGACCACATGCACAAAACCTATCGACCTGGGCAAAAGTGACTCAATGCAAAAAGAGATGATAGACTGACTCTCAGCAAGTACCAAGGTGAGTATGCAGCATCCACAGGGCAAAGAGATAGGGCCAGGGCTTGAAGAGATTATACCGCTCCTTGCTCCGCACTCCAGCTTGGTCAACAGTACTAGTCAACGCTTGGTCAAACTTTGCCGGTCAACCCCAAGTCAACGCCGGTCAACTTTGGTCAACACCTCTCAGCTCCGTTCAACGTTGGCTATGGCGACTTCTTCCCCCTTCGTCACTTTCGTCAACTCACCCTTCTTCTCCCTCGCCCTCAAGTTTGGCTATGGCCGACTTCTCCTTCCTCTTGCCGGCTATGGCTTCCCTCACCTTCCTCTCCTCTCTCCCTCTCTTCTCTTGCGTCACTTTCTTCTTCCTCCACGATCGTCTTCCTCCTCTGAGCTCGGCGGCTATGGTGGACTGTTTCCTCCACGAGCATCCCTCACTCTCTCTCTCTCTCTCTCCTCTTCGTGGCTTCTCTTCTTCTCGCCGGCGGTCTTCTCCTTCGTCACGGCGGCGGTTACAATGACGAGGACAACGGGAACCAGCTCCGATACCAATGGAATCAGACTGAATTTCAACCTCACTTTGAGCATGCATACATATAGATGTTGATGGCAGAAGAACTTTCACAAACGCAGAACCAGCAATAAGCGTGAGATGGCACTCGGCGCCACACAGAAAACTCAGAGATATGGCCTCTGGCCAGAAACTCAGTTTAAGTGAACTTTCACAACTTGCGGCTATTGTCGCTGAACACAGTCTGAATTCCCACCCGATCACTGTATCCATCATCAGACACTTCACACTCACTCACGCACATGTTCACACACGCTAGGATCTACCCTGAATGTCCACGCATGCACACCACACGCACACACACACTGTTGTTGCTCTACACTGGCGGCTATGGCCGCCGACTTCCTCCTGCTATCTTCTACCTCACGGCTATGGCTGCTGTCTCCTCCTCCTTGCCCACTTCGGCTTCGGGCATCTGCAGTCCTCCAACGCACAAGACACTTAGGCAGCGCTTCCGCGTCGCTTGCCAAAATGAATGAATGGCTGGGCGCTGCCTCTTTATTTATACTGTTTAGTCGATGGTCTGGCCTGCCTTCGGGCCCAGGCCCAAGGATGGTGCTGTCCCACCTGGTACTTTCTGACGAGACGAAGTAGACTGGGACTGCCGACTGTGCTAGGACTAGGCTGCTCTTTGCTGACTCACCTACAGAAAAGTAACCTCTGTACTAGTCTGTAGTACCGAAGAGCCAACTACGGACTTTTAGAAACTCCTAGGCCTAGACTGACTGGCCCTTCGTAAGGCTCAGGGCTAACTTATGTGACAGACCCTAGGACTGCTAAAACTAAGACTCACGGTTCAAGTCCATGCGACCAGATAATGCACACGGGCTGCTGACAGACGACTTTTGGGTCAGGTCGCGGGATCAAGGCACACGGGGTCAACGGGTACTGTACATGGGGATAGGGTTGAGGTCCAGGGATCGAGGCCTGGGATCTGCAATTGGCATGGGAACTGGGTGAAACCGTTTCAGGTGTACCACTCGCCCATGTGGGTGGGTTATGTAGTACAGTATGTATATGAAAAATCCCTTCGTTTGACTCGAATACAGCTCAGGACCGCGAGATGCACCAGCCCTGTTCGTTCATTTGACCTGGCCGCCTTTACGCGAACCTTCCTGACCCCACTTCACGACCCCGTGACGGGCTGTGCTACCCTGACTCGTACTAGCAGTTGCTACTTTTGATAATGATGATGATTTCACATTGTCTTTTCCGTCTTGTTCTCCTCCTCCTTTCCTCCGCCGCCCTCTTTCCACCCATGCGGGCGAGGTCTAGGGATCGAGCCCTGCGATCTGCACCTGCTACTGCAAAGGTGAAAACCGTTTCACTCCCGCCGTCCTAAATTCGAGGTCCTCCGAGAATAATTCAATCTATAATAGGGTCTTTACCTTTCTTAGCTCTTTCATAGGCACGGACGACATTGGGAGTCTCTCCTCCTCCACCCTCTTCTCCCTTTCTTCCCACCCCTCCCTCTCCTCCTTCCACTGCTCCTTCAGCACCACCCCGTTCTCCTTCTCCTCCCTCCTTACACCCCTATTCCTTCCCATCCTTTCCCCCCTCTTTTTCTCTCCTCTTCCTTACCCTTCTCCCTCCTCTTCCCACTCTTATGAATGCATCTCATTGTCACCTGCAAAGTTCTGACAGAAGAGTTTTCTCCTCGATGGTCGTTCCTTGGGTAGTTATTAAAGACCAGGGCAGTTTGTCCTTTTTGGCTTTTCCTTGTGCAGGTCTTGCATTGTTTCGGAGATTGTTATTTGAGAAGCAGAGAGTTTAACAGGGAGCCTCTGCTCCCACGCTTCCGTGGGCAGACCCTTTGCCAACTATGGACTTCTAGAAACTCCTAGGCCTAGACTGACTGACCCTTCGGAAGACTTAGGGCTAACTTATGTGCTAAAACTAAGACTCACGGTTCAAGTCCATGCAACCAGATAATGCACATGGACTGCTGACCAGAGCTGGACATTTTTTGTTTTTCCTGACCCGTGACCCAGCCCGCCCAATTGTTTTTTTGTACCACCTACCCGACCCAAGAATTTTAATTTCCACCTCAAGACGACCCCACCCACCCAGAATCTTTTTTGAATTTCAGCCCCACGCCCGACCCGCCCGCCACCCGAAAAAAGTCCTCTCACCCGGACCCTAGACCAAAATTTTTGCCACCCACACCCGCTCGTGCCAATGCACCCCTGCCCACGACTCCTTTACCAGTGTCGGCACCTCTTTACCTTGCACCACCCGCCATGACACTCCGTCATAGCGTTGCGCAGCAGCAAGGTCAGGTAAATCGGGGGGGGGCATCTGAATTCGTCAAGTTCGCTAACCAAGGCTGAAGTTCAAAGAGGGATTTAGCCTCCTATTGTGTCTAGATCTGCTCCCTCATTTTGTTTAGGAAAAACTGGGCGAGGGACTGGACTGCTGGAGCACGGTTTTTATTTTTTGGCCCCGATGTAACAGGCCACCCTGCACGACTATACCCAGGCCCGCTTTTTCATTCTCTCAACCTAGGGCCTGCGCACTCCACAGGTGATCCCAACGTCTTTTTCTTTTTTTTTGGGGGGGGCGGGGGGTCGGACATTTTTTCGGGTGTCCATCGGGTGACCCAGGCCAACGCTTCACCCACCTGTCACCCACCCGACAGGTGACCCAGAGCAAATGTTGACCCGCCCATGACCCAGAAATGCCTACTAGCTACATGCGCCCATTACCCACCCAAGAAGGCATAGGTAGACCCAAGCCCAACCGAATCACCTTGTGAGTCGGCTGGGCCAGTTGGGTGCGGCTGTGGGTACCCGGTGCCCACCTCTGCTGCTGACAGACGACTTTTCGGTCAGGTTGCGGGATCAAGGCACACAGGGTCAATGGGTACTGTACATGGGGATAGGGTTGAGGTCCAGGGATCGATCCCTGGGATCTGCAACTGTCATGCGAACTGGGTGAAACCGTTTCAGGTGTACCACTCAGCCACGTGGGCGGGTTGTGTAGTACAGTATGTATATGAAAAATCCCTTCCTGACCCCACTTCATGGCCCCGTGATGCACTGTGCCACCATGACTCGTACTTGCAGTTACTACTTTTGATAATGATGATGATGATGATTTCACATTGTCTTTTCTTTCTTGTTCTCCTCATCCTTTCCTCCTCCACCCTCTTCTTCCCCTCTTCCCACCCATCTCTCTCCTCTTCCACCCTCTTCTCCCCCTCTTCCCACCCCTCCCTCTCCTCCCTGCTCCTTCAGCACCACCTCATTCTCCTTCTCCTCCCTCCTCACACCCCTATTCCTCCCCATCCTTCCCCCCCTCTTTTTCTCTCCTCTTCCTTTCCCTTCTCCCTGCAAAGTTCTGACAGAAGAGTTTGGACTTCGATGGTCGTTCCTTAGGTAGTTATTAAAGACATGGGCAGTTTGTGGCTTTGGTGTTTTTTCCTTGTGCAGGTCTCGCATTGTTTCGGAGATTGTTATTTGAAAAGCAGAGAGTTTAACAGGGAGCCTCTGTTCCCACGCTTCCGTGTGGCAGACCCTTTCCGCCCACCACTAGTTTCTTCAACACCATCTATCTGCGCCCATGTCATTTCCCCGGAGGATGAGTTCATTATATTGGGATCAGATGGGCTGTGGGAATTGCTGAGCAATGAGGATGCAGTAAGAATCGTCTTCAACAATCCACGTGAGGTGAGTAGAGTTCTACTTTCCTGGAGTGAAGTATCTTCTTCTTCGTCATTGTGGACCCTTGATTGCCAGGGGGAAAAAACAGACGGGAGTGATGACCACAAATTCTGTTCTTGGAAACAACAAGGCTACAACATCCTTCACGCTCCCCAGAGCCCACCATTCCTTCTCATTGCTTTTTTTTCACCCTTTTCCACCTCATTTGTGATTTTGACATCCTTGATCAGGGACCTTGCTAAATATAATGAAGAAATTCTAGTAGCTTTTAGTTTTGTGGATTTTGTTTTATTTAGTCAAAAAACTTTTGGCGAAACTTTCCAGGCTACTTTTGAAGCAAGAATCTTGTCTATGGGCTTCGCCGCATCACTCGCCAAATGCCAACATTCTGAATGAATCTGAATACGTAGCTGGTCCTGATACTTTCAGAATGTTGGCATTTGGTGAGTGGTGCGGCGAGGCCCTATATTGTTCAAAAGATCATATACGCTTCCGGTTTATGTCCTGAAGAATGATCCTTTTGCAGTCCATATGTTTTTTGTTTCGTGGTCCCAATGATCATTGCCTCGAGGCCACAGCAGCTATGACCCATGTGCAGTCATGGACTGAATTTGATACCTCTCAAGGAGTCTCAATCATTTTTCCTTTGCTACCAAAGTGACAGACATCATGATGATGAAGATTCCGGTATGATCTTACATCTTTTCCACAACCAGCCCCTTTGACTCTGTTTTCCGTTTCTTCCTTAAACCACCAGTACTTGGCCCAGCTATCGGCCGCGGAAGAAAAAAGAGTAGAAACATTTCTAGTCGGATGAATTTGGGTGCTCCTGTAGTGGCCCGTACGTTTCCTGAAATCATGGCGCGTTAACGGGCACGACTCTAGGAAGTACTGGTGGTTTAAAGAAAGAAAAAAAATGGCAACAGCCTAGAAATATCATTGAGAAACTGACCCGCCCTAGGTAATTCAGGAATTTTGTTCATTGGGTTCCATCAGGATTCAAAGTCACATTTACATTTCAACAGTTTACGGGTGTACCAACTGAGCTAAGCCCGTTGGTAGATTCATCTTCTGATTCTGATTTCCTTAGCCTAAGTGCGAGGATTTTCATCCTCGGCAAGCCCCTGAGGGACCCTTGCAGCAAGCATGAGCCCTCCCTAAGTGAAGGCGGGCCCCTGAATTTCAATGAGGCCTGTGTCCTAACCCTGTGCATGAAACACTTTCACCCAGTTAACCCGACATTTGCAGACACAGAGATTCGATCCCTAGACCTGTGCCCTAACCCTGTACATTGAAGCTGCATGCTGAGTAGGATTCGATCCCTAGACTTACCCTGTACCCTGTACATTGACCCTGTGTGCTGAGTGAGATTCGATCCCTAGACCTATCCTGTACCCTGTACATAAACCCAGCGATCTGTGTAGGACTTGATCCCTAGGTCTGAAGGATAGAAGATGAGTCTGTTACCAGTAGGCCTGAAGAGTCTGTTCTAGAATTCTATACCTAAGTCTACTGTGGGCCTAGAGTCTGCCTGTACATCTGTAGACTCTAGAAGGTCGTAGGTCCCTTTAGGCACTCCAGTCAGCAGGTACCTGGGTAAGGGCTGCACGTGGGGAAGGTTCTGGAGCACGTGGAGAGTTCCACGCGTTTTGGCCCAGAAGGCCCACGCGTATGGAAGCTTCCAGGCCCAGGTCCACATGTTCTGGAGGGACCAAGGCTCACGCGTTTTGGCCCAGGCCCACGCGTTTTGGGGCAGGGCCCAGCCACCTCCGAAGAAGTATAAATAAACAGGCAGCGTCCAGCCATTCATTCATTCGCCTGTGAG